ATAGCATCAGCCAGATTGGTCGGGATCGGTGGCGGGTTGGGGATATCATCATCATCTTGTGAAGTACCAGGAATATGCGATCCCCGCGTACGACGCATCTACTCATAACAAACCAAACTTTATTCACAAGCTTTTATTGAATTGCACAACAGCTTACTCCAGACACATAACATAGGGTTTATTACTATAAACCCCAGACCCTATATGTACCAAAACAAGATACATAGCTTAACCAAGATTAACTATAACACAACTATACTCTTTTTCGTGATTACTTCAAACTTCAGGCTCGGTATCCATTCCGGAATTATTACCGCCTTCATCATCACTTTCATTGATCATTACTAATTCTTCAGGATCTTCTTCTTCTTCCTCTTCCGATTCGCTATCATCGGCAAGGATGACACCGGGGTCCATGGCATCAGCTTGAGGCTCATGATTCGGGTTTAGTAGATTGCTAAGCCTATGAACTTCCTCATGTAGATAGGTATTATGTTCTTCTAAATCTTCTACATAGAATTCTAGCTCATGAGTTCTAGCTCTAGCTACATTCTCCCTATGCCGGGCTTCATTTCGTCCCTCCACGTGCACACGAACTAACATGCTTTTTGCAGCCTCGTGTGCGGTGGTGAGACGCCTCAATTGATCATGTAATTCTCCCACCATATAGCATCCAAAGCCCTATCTCTAGTAGCTTGTGCTAACTCTGTAGAAATCCTCTATATCTCCACCTGGGGATCAGGCCTAGAACTGCTACTGCTAGCACCATTGTTTCTAGGGGCAAGTTGGTGACGAGGAACTCCTTTGGGTCCAGTGGACTTACGGGGCGTCATCTTGGTGCGAGCCATACTGTAGGAAGCCAATTTAATCCAAATAAGACCATTTGATCAAAATCCAATAAGTAGCTAAGATGGATTACATTACTTAAACCAGACTCACTACTCAACTCCAGACTAAGAGGTGAAGGAAGTAACGGGTGAATTATTCATGATGCATGAATCGTTCTTACGAACAAAAACATCAAAGTTTATAATGCACATAAACAACATTTATTTTTATATAGGGCATAGTAATATTACTACTCCACCACACAAAACCTTTTTAATCAAATAAGGAATGGTGAGAAAGAAATAAGATAAGTCAGAAGCAATTTGGACCAAATTAATCAAGTTAAATTTAGTCATCCCAAATCATTTTGAAGTTTTTGTAAACCAATACCACAAAAACTTTGTAACGATCGCTCTGATACCATTCTATGGCAGAACCTCCTAAATTATAGGGCCCACATGCACCTGTCACTGTCCAACGACCTTTGACATCTATGCATATATTCCTGGTAATTTAAGAAGACTGTCGGGTGTCCTCGGGGAACCCCGAATCATCCACGATTTCCGAGCAGGATCACATTACAGAGTCATTGTAGTATTACAACAGTTTATTCAAATAAATACATCAGAGTAAAAGTAGCGGAAGACTTACAATAACATAGTTTACAAACCATTTGTTTCAAACCATACAACTAAGTTCGATATTAAAACAAACCAAAGTAGTGGAGCGCCATTATAATATAATACAAAACACACAATGAGGCTGCCCTGCCCAAGGGCCACACAATTACTTCTCAACGTCATCACAAGGTACAACTATCATGCAGCACGATCCACAACAGATCTGCTCATGAGGCTCACCTGCAACAAGGGTCAACGAACCCTGAGTACAAAAGTACTCAACAAGACTTAACCAAAATAAGAATTAAAAGAACGCAGGAATGTAGGCTCATGGGATTCAAGGTATGGCTTTAGCAATAATCAAGGTTCTTTTGCGTAAAAGCATTTTAACAAAAATCTATATATCAACATTTAAAACTTCATAAAGATCATATACACAGCTGACATGATCCTCATTGATATCATGAAATTTCATAACCAACACCTTCTCAAACCATCCTCAAGTTCCAGTTATTAATTACTACGATGATGAACAGTGAGTTGAGTCTCCATAACCGAGGAGCAACGACGATTCGAACCGATTATAAACCCAGCTGGGGATTCCAGACCACACGACATATGCAGGTATCCGACCTACATATACCAACCTACCCTTGGATCCTCTAAAACAAGAACGGGTCCGCGCCACCCGAGAATACAGTACTCCACCAATCCAGCCCATTGCCACGTGGGTACACGCTATTCCCGCCATCTCTCCACTCCCAGTGCGCGAGTAGCCATTCTCGTAATAGAATTGCCAAGTTCAGGCTTACCGGAGTATGTGGTTAGTACTACAAATTCTCACCTCATACAATTCAACAATGGACGTGCCTTAATCGACACAGGCAGAAAGATCCCGCTCACAAGACCTCCATGTCTTGTGGCTCACACACACCGAGTCCGCCCGGTCTAGATTTATTACTCCACATTCCCATATCACATGCTAACATAATTAACCAATGTTCCATTTAAAACTTGCAGGTGGCAGGTAGTCACCGACTTCATCGTTCTACGCATAGCTAAGCAAAACTAGGCATATACGAGTTCAAAACTGGTAATATGGTAAATATGGAATAACAAGGGTGGTAATGCACCAATTAGGCTTTTACCTAACTCCTAATCACTTAATGCAGTAATGGAAAGTAAAAGAGAAATTAATTTGTAAAACACAAGGTAGGGTTGTATGCATCCGGGGCTAGCCTGCGTTGACGGAAAAGTCCGGCTCTTGCGACGCTTCACAAGAATTCGGTCCGACCTCAACAGACGGATTAACCTCCTCAACAACTTGATTAACTACCACGTGTTCACCTTCGTTCACTACACGTAATACAATGTCATGTTTAACATGATGCGGAATACGAAATATGATGCTCGATGATGGATACAAAAATTAACAATTTGAATACAACTTTCCTTCGCGGTACAGTTGCAAGTCAAACAAACTAAATCTTTTTCGTAACACATACATCAACTGCCAAGGATCATTAACAACAAATGACCCAAGGTCATCACTCAATGCAAAATTACAAACAAAACCTAAATCACTAAAGGTTACTATTTGCTTTTATGAATTAATTATTTAATTCAAAATTATGAAATAAATCAACTTATTCCAATTGAGCTAAATTTTTTTGTAAACATTCATTACATAATAACTAAGTGGCAAAACAAATTTCATAATTTTTGGACAAGTAAATAAGCCTAGAAAATTCATGGAAATCCATTTATTAATAAATTGAGCAATTTTTATCACATTCAAAAATTACTGAAAAACATTATTTCAAATTTTTCTTAAATACTTTACATCACAGAGAAGTCACACAAAAATTTTCATAATTTTTGGAGCTCTAAATAAATCTACCCAAAAATAACAAGAATGGACACTATTCATTCAAATATGAAAATAGAAAAATCCATTTGAACGCTGAGTCACTGACATGGTGACCCCACCTGTCATCCCCTTCCTCCCGCTTTGACTACGGCGATGATGGCGCTGACCGGCGATATCTCGACGACGGCGAGATCAACGGCGACGGCGAAGGCACTATCATGATCACTACATCACAGCGCACCGATTTGTGGCACAAACGCGACCAATTACTGCCTGGACCGAGCACTACGCCGGCCATGGTGGCTACGGTGGCACAGCGACACAACGCCGGCGAAACAAAGCCGAAAACGGAGAAACAGAGGGCATGGGAAGGTCCAGTAGCTCACCACGAACACGCTGGAGCAAAGAATGAGACCGGATAAGCTACGAGGACACAGGTCGATGTTGACAGCGGTCACGGCGGAGCGATCTTCGACGACGGCGATGCTCCGGTAGCTATGGTGGTCCAAATGAGAAACCAATAGGTCACAAAGCACTACATCAATGCGGCGAAGCGAAAAGCAAGACTCGCAAGGGGAGAGACTCACCAGTAGCGCGCCGCCACGGAACGCTGGCTCGGCGGCGGACGGACCGGCCGTGGAGAAGAAATCTGACGAGTGGCGGTTCTGGTGAAATTAAGCCGAATTGATGGGTTGGCTAAGTGCGCAAGGATAAGGCGGAGCTAAAGGATGCTTTGCTGCAACGGCAGAGGCACTGGTTCGACGACGAGAGCTCACCGGAGATGATCGGCAACGTCGGGAAAAACAAAGGGCGAAGGAAGAACAACGACGACGGCGTCGGAGCTTTATAGGGCGGCCAAGGAAGCAAGGAGAAGCCACGGCGACGCGCTTTTCGCGCCAATAGTGAAGCCAAGACCGCCACGCAGCACTGGAACGCCGAAGAAGGTCGCCCGGCGGTGAGTCGGCTTTCATTATTATCGTTCACGATAATTACAAGTTTGCCATTCGCCAAAATTCACAAATTACTCTCAAATTTTCATAACAACTCAAAAATCTCCAAAAATAAAAGTTGTTCAAAATCAAAAGTTCTACAACTTTACTTTTATAACCATCTCCTAATTCGGTCTAGATTTTGAAATCAACTTTTGAATTTGAATAGGGAAATTTAACGAATTACGCCTTTTTGAATTACTCAAAACTTTTCTAAACAACTTGAAAAACTCCAAAAACAAACTTTGTATAACTTGCCAAGCTCTACACTTTTGCTTTTGGGATCAACCCCAAATTATGCTTAGATTTTGAAATGGGTTTTCAGGGTAGGATTAAAATGCTGAAAAGCGGGGTTTTCTCAAAAAATTCAAAATCCAAACAAACTTTGAACTAGAGTCAACCAATACAATTCAACACATACCACATGAATATAAACTTGTTTTAGTGTATGCATCTCAAAGTTTTCACCAAATGCCAAATGCTTTGCAATGCATATGATAACATGTCAGGTTTTAGTATTTTAAACACCCGAGGTGTTACAGCTCTTGGTGGGTTTCAACTCTAGCCTACCCTACCTTACTTGGGACTGAAAGGCTATGTTGTTGTTGTTGTAAAGTGGTGATATGTTCACCAATCTTGTTATCGGTTGGTATCACTGTGGACTTGCTGAGTATGGTCTTGCTTTTTGTGCAGTATATGATAAGTGCACTTGCTGAAATTGCTAGTGGAAGGAGACTCTTTGTAGATACTTATGATCGTAAGACTAAAGAAACCAAGGTTGACATAATGCAGGTGGCACCTGAAGTTGCTCAATGGCTTGGAAGGTAATCATGAAACCTTATTAGCACAATTTAGCAACAATCTTTGTCTTCTATGTTCTGAAGCTACATTTATCATTTTCCATGTTTTCAAGGGAACTAGGTTACAAGAGTTATGACATCGAAGATAATACTAATTTTCTGTACTAGCCTCTTGTAAATGTCTACTTTGGAGCTGCTTATGCAAAATGGCTCTTCTCTTGTGATGACAAGTATGTATTTTTACTTGGCACTGTATGTTTTACTGATATTATCATCTCTGATATTTCAACAGTTAATAAACAATTATATTACAAAATGCTGCAGACAAAGAACTGAAGAATTTGTTGTTAGAGCATATAAGGGTGGCAAAAAGAAGGCTGCTCACAAATCAACTTCCCCTATCTTCCAGCGTTATCTTTATGTGAAAGAGAACTTGTTGTCTATGAGGTTTCTTTCTTAATACTTTACTTCTATATCACGTATCTAACTCACTTATGGTTTTCAGTAATGTTCCTTAACTAAATTTATTTCTCTTAGCACTTGTGGCATGTGGAGGAGGACCTGCTTTACAGAGCTTGATTTATTATGAGATTAGTAAACTCAAGCTGGGAGAAGATCCCCTCGATCATCCAACATAGCTGGGGCCTAAGCAAAAATCTGACATGGTTGACAGGGTTTAAGAATTAAGAGTGCAGTAGAATTCATGTCCAAGTTCAAACTATTATAATATTTGAGTTCATAAAAAACAATTGCACTTAAGCATTAATGCTGCTATCTAACTAGACATCAAGATCATTTCTGTTCATCTTGACATGCTAAAGTATTAATCTAATGAACTAAGCAGTTTTGTAAGAAGCAACTTCTGTTTTCGCGATGACTGTATGGTGACTACTAACATATTCAGAACATCAGCCTCCATTCTACATGGACTGTATGCCATCTAAAATCTTCCTTTATGGCCATAAAACTCCCTACATCTCATTACATATTCATTCAGGTCAACACAATAGAAACTACACAGCAAATTAAAGTCCAGATGTTGTTCTTTTGCAGATAAAGATATGTTTTCTTTTTGAAGTTTGAACCTATACCTCAAATTCATCTGTGCACTTTCATACATTTCCTTTGGAAGTTTGCCCCAGTTGAAATATTGTTTCTCACTTTTTTTTTTGCAGACAATCAAAAATTTGCCACGAGCTTACTCCTGACCTAGAAAATTTGTCAAGCGCAGGTTAGATTTTGCTTTTTTGCTATTTATATTTTCTATATTTTCTTGACTGAGATGCACCCCACTTAAAAAAGAACAGCTTATAACTTGACATGATTTTTGAGTCAGAAGCACAGTTGATGTATTGGGATTCCAATGTATCAGAGGCTGATATGGATGCAATGTGGAAACATCCGGATGTATATAAGGAGTGGATAAAATCTAGTGAGAGACGTGGAAATGTACGATTCTCCCATGATGCAAAGCACAGGCCTTACCTTTCTCGCGTGGAGGTGAAGGTAAGTAGGATTATAAATATTTGCAATAGCTTCTCTACTTATGTTCTAAAATCTTGAGTATCATATGTTCTTCTATAAATAGCATATGTTTTTGCATAGAGTTACAACCTTCTGCTTGTACATACATTTCCCCCTTTTTTGGTCTAAAAAGAAAAGAAAAGAAAACTCTTGGGAGTAGAGCTTCCATACCAGTTGAGGGTTGCAACTACCAACTCCTGCACAGCTTCTTTTGATTATGCTACTAACAATCAATGTTTCAAAAACCGCTAGTTGCTAGCCAGGCTGTTAGATTCCACCTAGCGCCCAGGCATTCTAGGCAGCTATTGTATTCTTTTCAGTTCAGTTGAAGTTTGTTAAATAAAAGGATATGAAATATTACAACTAATTTGTCATTTATCATGCACCTATGAGTTCCATGACCATAAGTTTTTTTTATCATAAAATACAGCAGGGGAAACCCCCACAGTGAAATTTTATAAATATAAAAGGGTAAGAATTGTACAGGGAAACAAGCACAACAAAAGCACCCAAGAGGCTGAGAGAGCCACTTGACAACCAGAAAATTAAGAAAAGGCATCTATATAAAGGAGGAAAGAGGAGCGTTTGTCCTCAGACATCCTAAGAGCTTGCAATCTAGCCTCGTCTAAGAAGGAGCATTTCCAGGAGGAGAAAGAAGGTCATCCTCTATCAAAAATAAAGTTGTTTCGCTGCTTCCATATGTGCCAGGAAGCAATGATGAAGATCTCCATGAAGAAGGGATTCTGGTATTGCTGTTTTGACTGCATCATCATTTGGAAGAAATCACTTTGGAAGTTCCAGTGCATATTCAAGTGATGCCAGCAGGCCTGACTGAAAGGGTAACTGAAGAAGAGATGAAAAGCAGTTTCCTCAACATTGTGATCACAGAGAACACAGTTGTAGTTGTTGCCCTTCAACTTGTGTTTTTTCCTTTTGAGAAGATTCCTTGTGTTTAGCCTATCCATAATCATGAGCCAGGAGAAGACTTTAAGTTTGTTACAGCACTTTGAATCCTAAATCCATAGGAAAGGGGCAGGAGGCTGAACATTTCTGTAGGGGAAGTTGTAGAATTTAGAAGAAGTATAGCTGCTGCTGCCCCAAATATAGTGCCAGGAATCTTTTGTGTCCTGTTGAACCTGTATAGTTTGAATATAGTCTTGCATTGTTTGGTATTCTTAGTAAGCTTGTTCAGACAATGGGAGGTGAAATTGTGACTCAAGGTTGTTGTTTGAAAGAAACTGCAACACAGAAATCTTCTTGTTTTTGGCAAAGGTGAAAAGTCTAGGGAAGTTATTCTGCATGACATTGTCATTTCATAAGTCTGACCAGAAAAGAATAGTAGATCCATTCCCAATTTTGCAATTAGCAATTCTTCTAAAGAGATCACAGAGCTTCAAAATATCCTTCCACCGAAAAGACCCTTTATTAATAGTTGTATGTGGGATGTCACCATTGGAGTAGTGTGCATGCCAAACCAGTTTGATCCATGGAATTTCCTTCATGTTGTAGAATTTGTATAGGTGTTTAAGGAGGAGGGCAGAGTTTTGGCTTCTGAGATTGATGATGCCAAGGCCACCTTTTCTTGTTGGTTTACTACATTTTTTCCAGGCCACCAGGGGCTTCATTTTAGCATTGCTGTCAGATCCTCTCCATGACCATAAGTCATCTTTCTCCATTTCTATTTTTGTCTCACTTTCTTATAAAGGTGCAAAATCGCCGACAGAATGCATAAGCGCCAGGCAAGGCGGCGCTGCACCGCCTTTTGAAGTAAAGCTAACCATACAGCTTCAGGATTTGTAAAATCTGGATAGTTGGGAGACCAGAGCCGTACTCAACTACAGAATACTCTTGACCTAGTAGTTAACATAACCTTTCATGTGGATGCCATGTAACAGAATATTGTATGGTCTTGCATAGCTCATATTACAACATAGGCACAGTTGTTCACTAGTAGTTTTTTATTCACTTATTATGAATCTATGATAGTTCACAGCCGTTACCTCATTATGTCTTCAGTTCATCCTAACAATAGTTTATTTACTAGTCTGGAAAAGGTGAAAACTGAAAAACCTCAACATTTGCTTGCTATGTACTTTTCTTTCATGTGATTCCAAGTGCCATGACCAAATAGTCTTCAGAGGAGCAATTTTTAATGTTTATTTAAGTCCCATCACCTATTGTTTATTCAACAAGAACACTAATATATATTATCTCAATGTTGAATTTGCCACCAATACTTAAGTTTTCCCTTTGTCACAGACTTGTCCAATTTTGAATTATGATTTCAGGCTGTTGCCGAAATAATCATATCACGCCATTTGAGCACAAGAGGAGTAAAACCAGTAAGTTTTTTATTGAAAAGCCATAGCAGGCCATTTTAGCAGATACAGTAAGTTTTTTATTGAAAAGCCATAGCAGGCCATTTTAGCAGATAGTGTGTGTCGTATATCTAATTTTATAAAAGATATCACCTCTTATAGCATGTCTTATTTGTTGTAAATTTGTAATGTAATGAAACATGAACATGTTTTTGCAACCAAACCATTCAGCATAATTTAGCTCTTATTTCTTTTTTCTTTTCTTCGAATCATTTTAAGTTGAAGGCCTAAACTTACAGTATTCAAGCATGAGTATCCAGTTCATACAACATTATTGTATAGTGTATACTACTGCATTTGGTTGTTATTTGCCAGAATATCTTCATTTTTTATCCTATAAGGTTTAAAAGTTATGCACATGTCAATCACCTTAGCTTGTATCTCCCTGTAAAACTGATGAATAAAATTATTTGAGTTGAAAAATCCAGTGATACGAACCAATGTATGAAAACTAGGTGCGATGACGGATAAAATAACAGTGACTGATTTTTAAAACACTGTGTCCCAATAACAGTAAATATATTGTTAGAATTTTTTATAGTCAGTTTTCTGGACTCCAGTATTGCAAATTAATACAGATTAAATTCTCTATTTCCTATCGGAATCTTGAAAGGACCTTGATGTCGCCTAGAGGAGTGAATAGGCGTTTTTGAAAATTAACAACAAATAAAACTTGCAACGGATTAGTAGAGTGCGCGGCACTGCTACTTCGTCGCGCGGCACTGCAACACTGCCTCGCTGAGAATGCGGCACTGCCGCGCCTGCGCAGAGAGCTTCAACAGCAGCTAAGCCTAGAACTCAAACTTGGAGATATACATGGAGATGTCCAGTGGCAAGTCCACTAAGTACCTGCACTCATAAACACGCACAACCAAGTAGATCGAGTGGAACACGGATAATGCAATTCAAAACATAAAATAGACAAGACACAAGATTTATCCGTGGTTCAGCTCGCCACCAAGGCTTGCCTATGTCCACATTGTTGAGGAAGCCACTAAGGCTTAGGCTTTGCAACCCTTATCCTCGTTCTCAAGTCAAGAGAGTGAACTCTTGAGATGAGGAGTTTCCACTAGATCAATGGGGTGATTAATAAACTATCCCGCGGCTCACCACAAGCATGGAAGCTCGCTAGGCGATGCCTAGCCGTCTAGGAGGCTTCACCTCCAAGAGTAACAAATGCGCAATGAAGATTGACGAAGTCCAACAAGTGCTCAAAGGTTGGCTTGCTCTTAATTGCTCTCTAACACTTAATCAATCACTAATCACTCACTCTCATAAAGAGAGAGGTTAGAGAGAGCTCACAAATGGCTTGGGAAGGGTTTGAAATGGTTGGAGCATCAGCAGCAACACCAGGAGGCGTGAGATGGGTATTTATAGACACCCCACACAAGCTAGCCGTTGCAGTTCAAAAACTAGCTGTTATGACCTATACAGGTGCGGCACTGCCGCGGCAACTCGCGGCACTGCTGTGAAAATTCGCGGCACTACCGCAGCTCCCAGAAACAACACTGGTCACCTCACAGAAAATGCCATAACTTTTTACTCCAAACCCCATTTTCAGTGATCTTGGACTTCCAGAAAGCTTGTTTCGAGGGCTATCCAACCCAGCAGAGAACAAGCCCCAGCAGAAAACATATCTATAGTACGGCATACCTATACTCAAGATCAAGAGAATATAACTATTTTAACCACTTAAGTATTCAATGTCTTCATATGCCATTTCTTCTCAATATCACTTCATAAGGGGCTGCAATCATCTTTATCTCATCTATTCGAGCAAACACACCTTGAGCATGTGACTTGAGCCATTTTCTTACATATGAGTTCACCTCAATGGATTCAAGTCACTTTCACTAATGATTTGATCGTCAACACAATATGACTCCTCATAGCTTGATTAGTTCCTCGACTCAATGCAAGTACTCTCTTCTTCACCTTAGCCATGGTACCTCGGTCCTCAAGCCATCGCTTGCCTTTCACATTCGCTTAGTCCCTCGAAGCCCTTTCCTTGCTATCGTCACCTTATCAAGCCATACTCAAGTCACATCATATTAAGCATCCATTGAAAAACCATTTCTTCAATAATATGATCCTTTCTTGAATATCTTCTAGATATGAATGTTGAGATCAATCAAGCTTTAGTTTGATTCACATAAAGACATATATGAATCAACATCAATATGATCAAGCCAATTCACGATTCCTTATATCCTCTTTATTTTGGCTTAACACTCCTAATACTCACTTCAATATCTATCTTCATACTTCTAGTTTGATCAAGTCAATGCAAACTGATTTTTTAAATCTTTATCCATACAAGCAAACTAATGTAGAGAACATCTTATATCCATTATACATTATCTCCTTTGTCATTTCACCTTTGCTTAACATTTCCTCACTTATACACTCTTGATTCATTCTTCAATCCTTGATCAAAGCTAGTCCGCTATCCAACTCTTCTTGTTCATGCAAAACAAGCCATTATAGAGACCAATCCAAAATTATCGACCCATGTCTCATTTGCCATTTGCCAAATATGCTTGCTTTCACATGATGCTATGATATCCCACAACATAAAAGCCATTTCATTGATTCCATTTTCATTGTTGTCTTTTGCTTGAACTAGATTGTTTTCGTAATCTTTCAATACAACAATATACAATTTGGCCTTCATTATAATACTATGTGGCATATCATCAAGTTTGTCTTCTTGTTGAACCTATATACACTTCTCATTCCACAATCCACAAGTGTATGCAATAAACTCAATTTTCTGTTCAACACTTAGCAAACTTGTTAGACCTTTAATGATGTTGTCATTCAGTTCCCCAAAACTCACTAAAGGGCTAGATGCACTTACAAATATGCACAGGAAGCTCTTGCAGCACTTGCAGAGTTCTACAG